ATATAGCTGATTTGCATGTTGACCGACTTCCACCCGCTCCACTATTCGCCGAGGCTGCGATGACGGTGGGATTGTAATTTTTTTGTCCATCTCCAACATATTGGCGACCTCGTTTGCGTTGCTTTTGCTTCTGAGCGCCAGAAAACAGCTCCCGATATCTAAAGCACCCACCCTTATGCAACAGTTTCTGGCAATAAGGCTTAAAGATGTATCCGCACAGCGATTTAGCTAGCGGATTTCCGTTGCACGAGCTGAGAAAGATCTCCATGTGGCGGCGATTAGACACCAACTTCGTTCGAGCAATCACTTGCATCGCATAGACAACATTTACAGCTTTACTGTGGATGTGAATCAGAGTCTGAGCGATATTGGTCCTCGAATTGATCTCCGAGTTGATGGACACCAACGTCTTGCACTCATTAGGAAAACAGCTGTTGCATGCAGACTCGAGCAACACTTGCGGGTCAGTTTCAATGTCTTGCAACACCAGGCGAGGCACACCGCCCAAGCACTAAAATCAATTCTCCCATTCATTTTTCTGCATTTGGATACAATGGAGCAATTGCACTGAATTCTTCTTCTGTCCACAATGGCATGTACAGAACAACTGCAGTGGGAGGCAGCTTCTTGAATTCTCCAAAACTATCCCGTCGCGGTGTGCTGGCGAGAAGGACTGAGCAATTAAGAATAGGGAATCCATGAATACTAGTTGGGTCCACGGAATCCACAAGACACCACAGATCGGGCGACCAGAATTGTCGATTGCCTGAATATGGTAACTGCGTTGCCTCCCACACCGTATTGCCATCAAAATAAATTGGTGGTTCTGCAGTGAGAAACAGCACTCGTTTTTGCTGCTTGATCAATCTCCACATGACATAGTAGACAAACACCGACTTGCCAATACCAGGCGTGCCCGTGACGATAGCATACTTGACCATGTTCCCATCTGGATTCAACAGTGCTTAATCAGCGATCACTCTGTACGAAGAGCGAATGCAGAGCTTCTGACGTCTCGTTAGCGGCAACAACGACGAAAATTGAGCCAATCACCAACTTGGTCAACAGTGGAAAATTGTGAGAAGAATGGATCACTGCAGTGTTTGAAAACACCGTCTTGAGAGACTGTTGGAACCTAGGAACCTTGCTCAGGAACCACCACCAGCACGTGAATTTGCCGCGTTTGCGGCGGTGGCATTCCATTCGTCTCCAACACATCCCGAAGCGAATAGGTCGAGTATCTCTCACGCTTTGTGTCCACCAATGACACCTTTAAAAAACCCGGTACCACTTCTCCGTCTTCTATCGCAGCGAGGTCCGCACTTGGTAGCCATCCTGCGCCCTTCTTCGCCAGGGAGAGCTTTAGGTCCTTGGCTGGGCCAGAGTAGTCGATCTTAACCTTAATCGCATCCTTCAAGTCTCCCACCAGCTGACTAGCGTCGATGTCCACAGGGAATGCGCTTCTCTCTTCACCAACAATGGCACAGAGAGCGAAATGTTCTGGATATTACTACTATCCAGACCAGTTACCGCACTATCTAGTTCAGCTTGTCAGCCTTTGTGTAAGGGAACCTTAGCACTGAACGCACACTAGAAATACTCTGCCACGATTGTAGGCAGCCGTGCAAACTACCTAGATCGATGCTCAATGTCAAATTACAAGTGAAGTCCGCATCAGTCATGGTGTCTTCTAGTCAATGGAACGTTGATTACGTACGGTATATTATTAGGTTGTACCAAATTTAAAATAGCTTTAGTGCTGATTGGCAGAAATGAGTCTTGCTAAGCTATAAATTTCTTCTTGAGAGATTCTCATTTCCTTAGTCAGTCGATAGAACTGAAATGCTTCCCCAACGACAGAGCCCAGGCAAGCGCGCGGCAGCTAGCCACCATCAAGCTAAAGGAATTTCACGCACGGCAGCATTTGTAGTGCTAGGTCTCGTCGTTGCTTTGTACATGTACTACAACTTGCGATTTTTTGCAGCCTTTACAATGTCCGCCAACTCGATTGCTGTCAACGGAAACGGCAGGCGATCTTTCGATGGTGCGTCTGGCATATCAACTGGAGAAGATAAAATAATGCTTGCAGACGCATCGGCGACTCGCCAGGTGAAACACTTGGTTTTTACATCCACGTGTCGTGACATTGACTTTATACATGCTGAAGTCCTTGCCTTCACACTCCGACGCACGGGTTATGACGGCAACGTCACTCACTTGCTGTATGGCTGTACGTCTGAAGAATTTCTGAATATGACTCGCAAGAAAGATCAACGTCTCAAGGTACAGACTCGACACTATCCCGACGTCTCAGCAGAAAAAACGACATTTGGCGAAAAGTTGCTGACAACGACTCTGAATCCGTTCGTGCTTGCCAAGTGGATGTTACAATCGACAGCTGATGAAGTTGCTGAGAAAAAACGTGTTGTTCCCTTCGAAGAGCATTATGCACTAGCTTCTGATGACTTTGTCATGGCTGTGGACAGTGATGCCATCTTTACCAAGAAACTGGACATGGGGAATCTAATGGCAGAAGCTCATGACGTAAATGCTCGTATTTTTGGTCAAGACGCGTCGTGGTACTGGCCGAAGCGATTTCCGCTTACAAAAGAGCAACTGGAGCGAGTTGTTCCGCCGAATTCTCGCTCGTTGCTCCTCGAAGACTGGCGCGAATATGCAACAATTGCACCGTATGTAGCTGAATTGAGCGTGTGGAAAGAGATTTTGCCTACTGCCGTGGACTTGTGGTATAAATTGGCACACGAGCATCTCTACCTCGCTGTTCCAATCGCTGCTGCCCACGAGAAAGTTCCAATTGCAGCTTCGGGTGTATTAAGCGTGCATCACTATCCTTCTCGTTATCAAAATTGGGACTTTGTGGATGATATAAAACACAATCCTTGCAAAGAACAAGCTAAAGGAGCAAATTTAGAACTTTCGTCGTACCCAATTTCTATACGTGCGCTCAATTTTACTTTACCACAATGGATCGATGGTCGTAATTGGAGCTATTTTGCGGATCAAGTGCCACCGGATTTCTTTACATGTGACGCATGGATGATGCACCAGCCAAGCGATTATCTGTGGCATCTTGCCACTCACACCAGTGGATATGAGCATGTTCCCAACATTCTTCGTCGTCGCCATACGATGAGTGTTTGTCTCGCTGTAGAAGCATACAATAGTGCCTCGGAGAATTACCGCTCGCATTTTTGTCCTACTGGATTCAACCACAATCGTCGAATTCCTATGGAGTTTCTGAAGAAATCTTGGCCAACTGCTGTGGCCCGTGCAAAAGACACACCAATGGCCATAGATCCACCCGTATACTTTGGGGATTACAAACTTAAAGAAGCAGTGAGTGTGCTCAGACCCGGTCAAGAAGGAAGCGAAGATTTGCATTTTGTCTTTACAACTTCATGTGAGCCAAGTCAGGACTGGCAAAGTGAAGCTTTGGCGCAAAGTTTTGCACGTGTTGGCCAACAGGGTACTCTGACACGCATCGTCAGTGGCTGCTCGGATGATGCACTGAAGAATTTGCTTCGTCGTACTAAAAAATCTTCTCCGCATTTGCAAATCCACGTTACTCGAGATTTCCGCTCGCTCCCTATATTTAAGGAAGCTGGCAATGAAAAGGAGAATGCGTCGACACCTGATGACTACACACCGTATAATAAGCCATTCGGTTTGCGAGATTGGCTGGAGTCTGCTAATCCTCCTGTACGAGAGGAAATTATTGTAATCCTTGACCCAGACTTTCTTTTTATCCGAGAATTTGCTGTTAACACTGGCGGTCGTGTGACATCTGCTCACGATGTCGACTCTGGCGATTACGAGCGTGACGCCGAAGTTATTGAGGGATTGCGACAGTACAAACGATTCTTTGTTTACTCTGGCTCGCGAAGTAATGTGAGGGATACCGTAGTAGACGGTGTGGCGGTGGCACAGCGGTGGTCCGAGTATCTGGGTACCACGGCTTTTGATAATAGTAGTGACATCTGTCCAGAGTGCGCCAATGTAACGAAACGAGATGCGACCGAATTTTTTGCCGTCGGACCTCCGTATGCTATCACGCGAAGAGATTTAGCTCAATTCATCGACGATTACTGCAATATGACGGTGTCTAAACGTGATCAAATGAATCGCGAGCATTGGATGAGTGAGATGCTGGGGTACTCGCTCGCTGCAGCGAAGCACAATGTAAAACACACGACTTTTGACAATTTGGCGCTGGGCAACAAAGCTGATGACTATACTGGTTTTGTCAATTTGCTCAAGGGGAACCCCTGTGAGGACCCAATTCTGCCACTTACCCAGGGCGAGGTCCCACCGTTGCTGCATGGCTGTCACTCATACGAATCAGACGACGATAGAGGACTTAAATGGATTTTTTACAAGCAGCTTATGCCCAATAATTTGTTTGCGTGTGACTCGTGGCTCTTGGCGTCACCGCCCTCGAGTGTCTGGACATTGGCCAAGCGCAGTCGTGACGAACGAAACATGCTAGAGGCCTACGGTCTATGTACAAGCATCAAGGTATTCAATCAAGCGCTAGTTGACTTTAAAAGTAAAATGTGTCCCGATGGCTTTAACCATAACCGACGCTTGCGACTTGTAAAAGGCGTTCGTCAGGATTTGCTTGAAGTGGGCCAAGTGCTCAAAGCCTGGCAAGATGCTGCTCAGGAGAATGCCCGCGTAAGCGATTTTGTTGCATAGAAAGTAGATAGTTGATCTAAAGTAACACTGGTTATATCTCATTATTCTGCGGTGGAGAAGCTATTGGGCCGACAAGTGCCATAATATATTTTTTTGACAAAGCTATTCCTATTCTCTCATCCAATGTGATCTAATACATGCATCACTCTATGAAATAGCTGTACACCGCGTTAATTCAATATGTTGCCCACAGCACAGTCTTATGGGTTGCTTCGAAATTCGAGGCAAACGGCAAAACCAGTCACCAGTTCACGAACGGCTTCTTTTAACGAGCTGGTTAAGAAACGCAATTGCAGAAATAACAGAGTGTCGCGTAAGCACAGCTTCAAGGTAGACCAGAGAACCAGAAGGGCAGAAAGATTTCCTATGGGGTTTGTTTTTGTGAAAAACACTTTGATAATTTCTCGGCATATTGGAAGAGCGCTGAAGTCCGAGTGTTTTATGCGCCTGGGTCTAGAGAATGAGAGAAAGCTATTATCCGTACTCATGAGAGTATATAATCAAAGGAAGATTGTCTCTGTTGCCTCTGGAAGATCAGGATTCTCAAAAATTCTATGTGACCTATCGATCCGAAAAGCGAAGGAGTATATGGTGCAGAAATCAAAACTCCTGCACTGATCTCTTACTTTGTATTGAAATGAACGAGAATCGGCAGCAAGCATATACAAACAAACAATTGTGCAACAGCAATAGCACCGGCAGTTGTCAATAGTATTGTACGTGAAATATAGATTAGTTGGACATAGATAAAAAAATCAATAAGCGTACATATTTACATAAATTGAAGACACCAAAAACCTAAACACCACACACAATGAGAGATCTTAGATATCAGTCCAAGGATAGATGGTGCTTTAGTTACTGGCTCAACTAATATACAACCAAGCGCAATAATTAGTGTAGCAAAGTGTGGATATTTTCTTGCAACCCAAAGAAGTCTTGTATTAGGTCGGATGAACCCCACAATGATGTTTGCCAATTTTGTCGAATATAAAATTTGAATAACATTTTATACAACCGGAGTAGCTAATACGTACAATTTGTTTTGGGTTGGTGATGGGCAAATAGCAACGTCGGCAGCTGATCAGATGCAAAATGTTGCTTTATCCTGATCACCGGTATTAAAGACAAACGTTCAGGCGAATCTCGATCTTCGTGCTTGTGTGCGGAGGCTTGATGATATAATATTTGCAGCTTTAGGACTGTAGCACTTATTTCTGTGTGTAAAACCTTGCTTGACCTCAAAGTCGGCTTTAATTCGTGCAATCTTTCTGTTCTGCCCCATCGATCACCATCTCTGTTCGAACTTTGGCTAGTGCGTCTTCAATAAGCTCGATATAATCATTAGTCAGTGACGATACTCGCGCAAGTATCAAAGCACGCTTTAAGCTATTTTCAGCCTTACTCCACCGCTTTGCC